TCTGTTTGTGTCTGTGTGTCTGTGTGTGCTGTGTGTTGCGTGCTGTGAGTTGTGTGTTGTGGGTTGTGGGTTGGGCGTTGTGTGCTGTGTATTGTGTGTTGGGTGTTGGGCGTTGTGTGTTGTTCGTCGTGTTTTGTGTTTTGTGTGTTGTGGGTTGTGTGTTCTGTGCTGTGTTGTGTGTGTTTGTGTGTATGTGTGCGTGTGCGCGTGCTTGTGCGTTTGCGTGTGCGTCCGCGTGTGTGTGTGTGTGCATGCGGATGTGTGTGTGTGTGCGCGTGAATGTGAATGTGCGCGTGTGTGCCCAGACACTTGGTAGCGCTTCAAACTTTCTGCGTCGGGCGCTCGCTCCGTGGGTTATTTGGCCGCTGCACTGTGGCTTTGCAGCGCCTCTCTTTTTCAAACACCAATCTGAATGGCCGTGGCTGGAATCTTTCACCATGGCGCGTTCGACTAAAATCGTTCGGGATTGGCACCTCCACCTGCCGACCGCGCCTGAGGCTCCTCTGTGCCGCCGGCATAAAAGGTGTGTGTGTGCGCGCGCGTGTTTGCGTGCGTGCGTGCGTGTGGGTGCGTGCGTGTGGCTGCGTGGGTGTGAGTGTGCGTGTGTGTGTGTGTGTGTGTGCCTGTCTGTCTGTCTAGCTGTCTGTCTGTCTGTCCGTCTGTCTGCCTGTCTGTCTGTCTACCTCGCGAAAAATTACCCATGCTATGGTGGACCGAGGCACCCTCCGTCCCGCCCCCCTCCCCAACGGAGGAAGCCCCTGTCTCGTTCCCCATCCACCCCTCCCACATCCCTACACGCGAAAAGGTGCCCATGCTATGAGGCACAATCCGTCTCGCCCCCCCTCGCCCCCCCACGGAGGAAGCCCGCATCTCGCCTCGCTCCCAACCATCCCTCCCCCACCCCTGCACGCGAAAAGGTACCAATGCTATGCTGGACCGAAGCACCCTCCGTCTCGCCCCCCTCTCCCACAGGGGAAGCCCCTGTCTCGCTCCCAACCACCCCTCCCCCATCCCTACACGCGAAAAGGTACCCATGTTATGGTGGCCCGAAGCACCCTCAGTCTAGCCCTCCTCCCCCACGCAGGAAGCCCCTCTTTCGCTCCCCATACACACTTCTCCCACCCCTGCACGTGAAAAAGGCTGTCATACTATGGTGGACCGAGGCACCACCCGTCTTGCCCCCATCCCCCACAAAGGGAGCCCCTGGCTCGCTCCCCAGACACCCCCCCCCACCCCTAATCCAGGAAAAACGCACACAGTATGCTGGACCACGGCCACCCACGGCCACCCACGGCTCCCCAAGGCTCCCCACGGCCCCCCACGGTTCCTCACGGTTCCCCACGGCTCCCCGCGCTCCCCAGGAACCTCCACGGCTCCCCAGGGTCACCCAAGGCCCCCCGCGGCGCCCCACCGTCCACCACGGTCCCCTACGGCTCCCCACGGCTTTCCTACGGCCCCCCACGGCCCCCTACGGCTCCCATCGGTTCCCCACTGCTCCCCACGGCCCCCCAAGCGTCCCCACGGCTCCCCAGGGCGATCCACGGCTCCCCACGGCTCCCCACGGCCCCCAGCGGGCCCCCAAAGCTTACCACTGGCCCCCACGGCTCTCAACGGCCCCCTATGGCCCCCAACGGTTCCCCACGGCTCCTCAGGCCACGGCCGCCCACGGCCCCCCCAGAGCTTCTCACGGACCCCCACGGCCCCCCACGGTTACCCACGGCTCCCGAAGGCTCTCCACGGCCCCCCTATGGCTTTTCATTGCTCCCCACGGCGCAACGCGGCTCCCCAGGCCTCCCCAGGGCTTCTCATGGCTCCACACGGCACTCCACGGCTCCCCACGGCCCCCCAAGGCTTCTCACGGCCTTTATGGAACCCCACGGCCCACCACGGCTCCGCACATCTCCCCACGGCCTTTCACGGCTCCCCACGGCCCCCCACGGCCCCAGAAAAGAGGAGAGCGCATAGGAGAGGAGGCGAGGAGAGAAGAGGAACACAGGAGAACAGAGGAGCGAAGGAGAGGAGCAAAGCAAAGGAGAGAAGCGGGAGTGGAGCACAGGAGAAGAGAGGAGCAAGAGCGAGGAGAGGAGCAGAGGAACAAAAAGGAGCAGAGGAGAGCAGCAAAGGAGAGGAGGGCAGAAGAGAGGTGAGGAGCAGCGGGGGAGAAGAGGAGCAGCGGGAAAGGGGGGAGCAGCGGGGCTGAGGAGGAGCAGCGGGGGGGGGGGAGAAAAAGCAGCGAGGGAGGGGAGAGGAAGCGAGGGCACGCGGGAAGAGGAGAGGAAACAGAGCGGGAGAGGAACAGATCGGTGTCCGAAGCGGGAGGAGAAGCAGCGGGAGCAGCGGGAGGAGCAGGGGAGAGGAGGAGGAGCAGCGAGACGAAATGGGGAGACGAAGCGGGAGACGCACGCAACGGGAGACGCAGCGGGAGACACACACACACACAACCAACTCCCAGCAAAAGGCGCACGCGACGGAAGCGCAGCGGGAGACGCTCGCAACAGGGACGCAGCAGGAGACGCACGCAACAAGATACGCAGCAAGAAACACACGCAACGGAGAGGACGCAACAGGAGACGCACGCAGCCAGTTCCCTTTATAGAAGAGCTTCGATTACGTAAGAGTCTCAACTGATTTCAATGTTTACATTGTGTACGAGTTGTCATTATGAGAGTGTCCATTGTATAAACTCTTCTATTGTGTAAGAATGTCAGTTGCTGCCGTTGTGTCGATACTTGTCATTGTGTGACAATGTTCATTCGAAAAATGTCCGGTGTGCTGCGTCTCCGTTGCGTGCGTCTCCCGCGCAGCAGGGGACGCACGGAGCGGAGACGAAGCAGATGGCACACGCAACAGAGACGAAGCAGGAGACGCACGCAACGGAGACGCAGCGGGAGACACACGCCACGAAGACACAGCAGGACACACGCGCAACAGAGACGCAGCGAAGTTCCAGTGTGTAAGAGCTTTCGTTGCGTAAGAGTTCCATTGTGTAAGGGATGGCTCTTTCGTTATGAAAGAGCTTCTTTCGCGTAAGAGCCCCCGTCGTGTAAGAGTTCCCATTGTGTAATAATTCTGTTTGTGTAAACGTTCCCATTATATAAGAGTTGGCATTGCGCTATAGTTTCATTACGTAAGGGCTCCAATTATGTAAGAGTTCCCATTCCGTAACAGTTTCGGCTTTTTGTCAGGCTTCCATTGCGTCAGAGTTTTCATTGTATACGGGCTTCCAGTGTATGAGAGTGTCTTTTATATACTGTGTCCGTTGTGTAAGAGGTGCTGTCCAACAAGAACCCTCATTGTGTAAGAATTTCCGTGTGCCGCGTCTCCCTTGAGTTCGTCTCCCGCGCAACAGGAGACGCACGCAACGGAGACGCAGCAGGAGACACACGCAACGGAGACGCAGCAGGAGACACACGCAACGGATACGCAGCGGGAGGCGCACGCTACGCAGACGCAGCGAAACACACACGCCACGGAGACGCAGCAGGACACACACGCCACGGAGGCGCAGCATGAGACAGACGCGACGGAGACGCAGCAGGAGACGCACGGAACGGCGACGCAGCGGGACACACACACACACACACACACACACACACACACACGGAAGACGCAGCAGGATACACACGCAACAGAGACGCAGCGGAAGAAGGGCACGCGCAGGACGCACGCAACGGAGACGCAGCGGTAGACGCACGCAACGGAGACGAAGCGGAACACAAACGCAACGGAGACGCAGCGGGACGCACAGGCACGCAGTGGAGATGCAGCAGCGGCGGGCGGGGTGAGCGGGTCCGAAAACCTTGCATGGAGACGCTGAAAAACGATGCGTAAACCACTGCGTGGGACACTGGAAACCTCTCCCGAAGAGCTCTGCAGTGCTTTTGCAGCTCTCCTGAAGAGCTCCGAGGCCCTCCTGGAGAGCTTGGAAAAGCGCAGTAGCGACGCTTGCACGCGTGCCTGCACGAGTGCAGGCAGGCTGCGCAGCGTGCCTGAAGATCCGTGCAGATGGGACACAGGGCGTGGCCCTGAATGCTTCCACGGCCCAGGGCCACACCTGGCATAGGGCCGTACCTGGACCAGGGCCGCGTTGGGTGCGGGGCCCCAGCGCACTCAGGGCCACGCTGGGTGCAGGGCCACAGCGCTTTCAGGGCCACGTTGGGGCCAGGGCCGCAGACACTCCAGGCCCATACTCACGGTTCCCGCTGGCCAGAGGCCCCCGGAGCGACATCGCACACTCCTGGGCGGGGTGGACTATCGGGCCCGTGTCGGCGACCAAGTGGCGATTGACGACCAGTGCGTGCCGCTGCCCCCGTCGCCTACCATTATCCCCCCCGCCGCTGCCCCTGGCGTAGGTGCATTCCTCTCGGGTGGCTCGACCTCCCCTGGCCCCGATCACGGGCGGCGAACACGTCCGTATCCGCGCCCTCGCGGCCTGGACCCCAGGGCGCGAGTAATTGCGCGGTCGCATCGATGCGTTCCGCGCGGGGAATCCGCGCAGAAACGCCCCGCCCATCCGCGGGGTCGCGGACCAGGGGCCCTGCCCGCGAGGCCGCAGATAGTTGCGGACCCAGACCCCCGGCGCCATGATTTTTTCATGACGCGACGCCCAGAGGTCCGGACCCATTCCCCGGGACCGGTTTTTCCTCCCGAGTCGTTTTTTGACGTCCCGAGGCCCGGCGAGGGCCCCCAGAAGCCGAAAAGAGCGAAAAACCTCCCGTCGTGTTTTGTTTGATTCGAGGGGGTCTCTGTCGTTCACCCACGGCGGGCAGCTGCTCGTGGAGAGGAGAGAGGGGGAGGAGGAGGAGGAGGAGGAGGAGGAGAGGAGGAGGAGGAGGGGAGGAGGAGGAGGAGGAGAGGAGGAGGAGGTGAGGGAGGAGGAGGAGGAGGAGGAGGAGGAGGAGGAGGAGGAGTGAGGAGGAGGAGAGGAGGGAGGGGAGAGGAAGGAGGAGGAGGGGGTATGGAGGAGGAGGAGGCAGGCAGGAGTCTTTTCTCGGCTTTTCCCCCGCGGCCGCTCGTCACTTGTCGCGGCCCCAGCGGCGCCGCTTGCCGGTCTCGGGTGCGGCCGGCGAGCCGGCGGCGGTCGGCGAGCCGGAGGCGGCCGCCGGGGCGCACGGGGGCGGCCCGGGCGGCGCGGGCGCCTCCTCACCGCGAGCTCCTCCTCCTCCTCCTCCTCCTCCTCCTCCTCCTCCTCCTCCTCCTGCTCCTCCTCCTCCTCTCCTCCTCCAGCCTCCTCGCCGCGCCACGACGGGGGAGGGGCGCAGTCGGCACGAAAGGGGAGCGGGGCCCGACCTGAACCGCACGCCCTCGAATCTTGAAAAAATCACGACGGGAGGTTGTTCGCTCTGTTCGGCCCCCATGGGGGCCCTCGCCGGGCCTCGGGACCGTCACAGAACGACTCGGGAGGAAAAGCCGGTTCTGGGGAATGCGTCCAGACCTGTATACGGGTCGCGTCATGAAGAAATCATGACGCCGGGGGTCTGGGTTTTCATCCTGTGTTCACTGTCCCTTTCTGCCATGAGATCCGACGAAGACAAAAAATGGCAATATCGCCACAACAAAAAGCACGGCCCGAGCCCTGGGCCCCAGCTTGCTGCGTCATGTTTCGAGCCGGGCCGATCCGTGAGGGCCCCCCGGGGCCCGCAGGGGAGCGAATGAAACGCCCGTGGCGAAAAAAACAGTTGCAGGGCAAGGATCTCGGGGCTGGTGCTGCACAAGCAGCGAAGACCTGGGTAGAAGAAGGAAAAACGCCACAAACAGAAAGTTTGGGCGCTCCGTGCAGATTTCTTGGATCTGCGCCTGAACCCCCTCCCTGGCGCGCCAGGATCGGCGACTACAATGGGTGCGGTTTGCGCAGGGTGCGGTTTGCATCCCGTCATATCTGCCCCTCCCGCCCCCGGTAAACGGATGACACTGTCACTCAATGCGACCGAATCACATGACACTGTCGCTCCTTCTAGTACAGTGTAGTACTCATCGAGGATGACAGTTTGGCTCGAAACGACGACAATTATGACACTGTCTCTCGCAAAGGCTCCCAAAAAAGCCGCCACACAGCGAAGCGATAAACCGCACCCTGGCGTAACCGCACCGATTGTAGTCGCCGACAGAAGCGCGCCAGGGGCGGCGCCGCAGGCGCTGCCGGGGGGGGGGGGGCCAGCGCGGATCCAGGAAACCCGCGCAGAGCGCCAAAAGTTTGCGTTCATGGCGTTTGTTCTCCTCTTCGGCTGGGGCGAGAACCATCGCCAGCGCACCGTGCAGAGGCGCGAGGGCCTGGGGAGGGGGCGGCCCCCCTCGAGGGGGAGGCCCCTCGGCGGCGCTGGCCTCCCCCGGGGGCCCGCCACGGGCTCCGAAGAGGCCGTCGATGGGGCGGCGGCTCGGGACGGGGGGCCGAAAAATCCACGGCCCGCCGCCTCCGGGGCCCGTGCCCTCGAGGGCAGCAGAGGTCGTGGCGGACCGCGGAGGACAGCCGAGAGGGCACGGGAGGCTCTTCCGAGGGCAGCCCTTGCTGCAGACTCGACCGGGGGGCATGCGACACGGCGGACAGGACACGAGGGCGCCCTTGGCCTTGCAGTGGCGACCTGATCAGGCCTGGCCGCAGGAGAAGGGCGAGAGGGGCGTGAGGAAGAGGAAGGAGCAGGAGGGGACTACAGGCTACGCTGCACAATACCAGCCTACAGCATCGAGCTTGACGTTTGCCCATTCTGCGAAAACCCACGTTCCAGCCCAGCATCCCGAGAAGAGCGCACCAGACCTGCACGCTGCACGCCGGCTGCCTATCGTGCAGCCTGCCTTTCACACACGAGAGAAGCCTCTCACCGTCCAGAACGTAATGTGGCCCAGGTCGAACAAGACTCGTATAATGAAGCCAGAAAACCCCGAGTGTTATCCTGGGCAAGGCCGAAAGAGGCCGATGTGTCGACGTACTTGTCGTTCGCCTTGAAGTACAAGCACGGAGCAAAAACAATCTGAGCTCGTGATTTGGTAAACGTGCGAACAGCCGTCCCCTCGCGACGTCTATGGAGCTGATGTCCGAGCCGGAATATACTTCGCACGGCTTGAGCCACTCGATGAGCCAAGGCTTCTATGAGCCTGGGTGGCTAGGGTTAGGTCGGGCGTGTCCCCCTTCAGGCGGATTCTGGAGAATATATATATATAGATAGATAGATATACACACCAGAAACATATTCTAACATATTCAAAAATTGAAAAAGTCGTCCCCAGACTATTGTTTGACTATTTCTGAATATTCCCTCCTGTAGAGGGACAGGCCCGACTTCAAGCTAGGGGACAAGGAGTGCGAGCGCCTGCTGGAAACGTCCTGGCTCGGGCGTTGGCCCACGAGGCGCTGCTCGCAGCCCGTCGGGGAAAAAGCTCCCCTCCGTGTCGAGCTCGGCGCGGCTCCGGCGCACCCCGGCGAAGTTGAGATCGACACGATGCTGGGCGACATCATGCTGCCTCCTCCTCCTCCTCCTCCTCCTCCTCCTCCTCCTCCTCCTCCTCCTCCTCCTCCTCCTCCTCTTCCATGCGATCGTGCCCCTCTTGGGCCGCCTGAGGATACAAAAAATGCACCTCCTTCACCCCCCTGTTGCGCATCGCCCGGAATTGAGCAGGGACCGACCGTCCCGGCATTCCTATAGGCCTACCACGACATGTTCTTAGAACCCAAAAATGTTCTACTAACAAAAACAATGTTTTTAGAACGTAAACCCGATGTGTAAAACAAGACAGTCCCAGCCAGAAATGTTCTAAGAACACTTCGTGGAAACCACATAAGGTTCTAAGAACATTGTTTGGTAGGCCTATAGGCGAGCCAGGACGCTTCGCCACTGCTTGACGCAAGGGGGGAGGGGGGCACTCTCCGGCGACTCACCTGGAGAGACGGCGCACTCGCTGGCGCAAGCCAGCCCGACGCCACGGGTTTCCGCCTCGTGGAGGGCGCTAGGCATGGCGCTCGCGGAGGGCACTGGCGGCCTGCAGGCTGTCGTCGTGGCCGGCAGGGAGCTGGACATCACAGAAAGCAGCGCATCCGACTATCGCAGCGCAGACCGCAGCGCCTACACACCTCTTGGGAGTTTCCAGCAAGTGTGGTGATTATTTGTGGGATTGGCGAGAACGTTGGTGGCGAGACTGTTGGCAGCAGGACGTCAAATGCCCAGTTGCTGGCAAGCTTCCCTCGTTGAGCTGTCTGGGTCGCGCACGTCAAACATATGCAGCTTGTCTACAGCAGCTCCTTGGAGCCGCGTGGCCGAAGCATTACATACAAAATGCGACGGGGAGTCGGAGAGAGGAGGTGCAGCAGCAGCTGCAGCAAGAATGACAGGACGAGAAGCAGGAGGAAGGAGGGGGAGGAAGACGAAATCCATGAGCATCCCCACTGTGCTTGCAACGCGCCAGCGCGGAGATCATCCGTGGCCTTGCCTTCGTGCCGTTTCGTGTGGCAGCCGTGCCCACTGGCCGGGCTATGCAGCCTCACTCCTTGCAAGTGTGGTGCGTGACTCAGCTCCGTGACAACGGCTCGGATTTGCCAGGCGCTTTGCGCGGGCCAGCGCTCTTCCTCCCCCGTCCCTACTCTTTCGACGAAAACGACGACGACGACGACGACGACGACGACGACGACCTGGGACACAATGACGATGACAACGGTTTCTCGTTGGGGGGAACCAAAGGTACTGATACCGCTGCTCCCAGGACCTCTCCCGGGGTGCGCCCTGACCAGAATTTCGAGGCTCCGGCGGTGGCGGCGAGGGCCTCCCAGGAGGCCCTGAAGGCGAGAACGAGGCAGCGACAGCGGCATATCGGCACCTCCTCCTCTTCGGAATCCCACTGGCGCGGCGTCCTCGGCCTCGCCGAGCGCCCTGCGGGCCGTCTCCCGCTGCTGCTCCAGGCACTGCCTCAGCAGGTCCGCGGCCTCGCCGCCGGCTGCCGCCTCGCTGGCGCGCCCAGAGGCGGGTGCGACACCCGCGGGGGCGATGCCCGGCAGCGGACGCTCGGACCATGCGGCAGGGCTGGACCCAGGCGCTGTTTTTCTGTTTGTGTGTGCTCGTTCTCGCTCTGCTCTGCCCGTTGTCCTGCACCTCCCCGCCAGAACTTACCAGCCTGGAACATGTCCCTATCCCTATGCTGGGCATCTCCTCATCACGATGCCAATCTGAGGGATTCCCTTATTGTTTGAGGGCGCATCCCTAAGATTGTCATCGCTTTTTGGCGTGTCAATCTTAGGGATTGGGATATGTTCGAGGCTGGTATACTTTTGTTTTTCCTTTATATATATATATATATATATATATATATATATAAAAAAAAAAAAAAAAAAAAAAAAAAAAAAAAAAAAAAAAAAAAAAAAAAAAAAAAAAAAAAAAAAAAAAAAAAAAAAAAACGGGAGTCCAGCAAAGCAGCGCTTGGGTCCAGCCCTACCGCGCGGGGTGGTGGCAGGGGGCAGGGCAGCAGAGCAGCAACCGCGAGTGCCCGGACCGGCCGCACGGCGGCCACGAGCACACACATATACCCGCTGGCGTCGATGCCGGGGGGGAAGTGCGAAGGGGCAGGCCTTCCCAGAGAGTGGCGGGGCCTCTCAGAGGCCCTCCGGCCTTCTGAGAGGCCGTCGATGTCTGCGGAGAGGAGGCTGATGATAAGACTCGTCAGAAGGCCCACCCCCTCAGCATATTCCCCCCTGGGCTCGCCGCAGAACCAAGTACACTGGCTTGCAGAAGATAGGGAGGTTGGGGGGTTGGGGGGTTGGGGGGTGGGAGGTGCGCATGAGTTCCACGTTTCGTCCAACGGGGTGCCAATGACATGGCAGCATGTTTTCGAACACGTGTTACTTGCATTGCGGATGCATCAGGTCGGCCGAAGAAACAAACATAGAAAGCGCTTGGTTGAACTCAGCCAGAGGACCGCTGCAGAACAAGAAGAGCGGAAAACAAGCAGCAGCCAAATCCTGTAAGGCAACTAGCGCGGCGCCGCGGCGCCACAGGGCCACGACACCACAACGCCGCGACACCCACGCGGCAGCCAGCGCGCCCTGCCTCACCTGCAGGAGCGGCAGGGCACCTTTTTTCCGCCGTCCACCTCAGCGACCCCGAGAGCTCGGGTACGGCATCGCACGCACGCCTCCCGATGTCGCGCGCGCCACGAGCAAGAGCTGCGATGTTCCGCCGGGGAGGCTTCCAAAAGTACACGCATCCATGCCGCCGAAGCCGTGAATCGAGGACGCGCCGAAAGCCACCAGGCAACGAGAGCCGCCTGCGCGAATACGTTGACTAGCGCAGCCGACAGCAGCTGTGACCAGATGTGGGGCCGCCACTAACGACAAGTACCTTCCCTGTGAAGGGTGCAGCAATACTGACACTCCTGGCAAGCGCTCATAGGCGAAACGCGGGCAGCAACCACGGACGAACGCAGGACACAAAACACACCACATACTACTCTTCGGCGTCGCGGCCACGCGCGCAGCAGCGCAGCGAAGCCGGGCAAAGGCCGAATGAGGGGTGCGGCCGAGGCCCGCTCAGAGGCAGCAGGGGCATGCCATGCCCACCCCTGGGGGACCGCGCGACATGACTCGCGGGGGGGCAGCCGCGAGGGTGGGGACGAGGGGGGGGCCGACAGGGGCAGAGGGAAGGCGCGACCGAGGTGGTCGTGGCACGAGTCGGCAGCGGAGGTGCATGGGTCAACGTGCGTATTTTTCCTCCAGCGGCGAGTTGACGCCACCGCAGCGAGTACTAAGGCTGGGCGCGCTTAGCTCAGTTACCACCTGGCGTTGCAGATGGGGTCAGGACTAGGGCTGACGCACGCAGAAAAACACGACCCAGCGAATGCACGTGGAAAGACACATACACGCATACACGCACACACACAAACACACGCACGCACGCACGCACACGCACGCACGCGCGCACGCACGCACGCACGCACGCACGCACGCACGCACGCACGCATACCATCAGGAGGACGTTGGCGAATAGAACAAGGTCAGCGAGGAACGGGGGATCGGCGAGAAGGAGACGGAGGAGGAGCAGGAGAAGGAGGAGCAGGAGGAGCAGGAGGAGGAAGCGGAGGGGGAGAGGATGAGGAGGAGGAGGAGGAGGAGGAAAAGGAGGAGGAGGAGGAGGAGGAGGAGGAGGAGGAGGAGGAGGAGGAGGAGGGGGAGGAGGAGGAGGAGGAGGTGGAGCGGCGGCGGCGGCGGGCGGCCAGGTCCGCCGCCGGCCTCGGCCGCGAGGTCGAAGGCCTCCGTAACCCCGACGCGCGGCAACCCAATGTGGGCCAGGTAGCCGTCCTCGGGCGGCGGCGGCGGCGGCGAACGGTCTCTCGCAGTCGTTGCCTTTGACTCTCCCTCGGCTCCTTCTCGTTCTCCTCCTAACTCCGCCTTCTCCGCCTCCTCCTCCTCCTCCTCCTCCTCCTCCTCCTCCTCCTACTCCTCCTCCTCCTGATCCTCCTCCTCCTCCACCTCCTCCTCTTGCTCCTCCTGATCCTCCTCCTCCTCCACCTCCTTCTCTCTCCTCTTGCTCCTCTTGATCCTCCTCTCCTCCTCCTCCTCCTCCTCCTCCTCCTCCTCCTCCTCCTCCTCCCCCTCTTGATCCTCCTCCTCCTCCTCCTCCTCCAACCCCTCCTTCTTTTCCGCCGCCTCCTCCTCCTCCGCCGCCTCCTCCTCCTCCATATCTCGCCCGAGGGCGCCTGGCCGCCGGGGCGCGCTGCGGGCGTTGCGGCGGCAAACTGGAGAGGTCCCGCCGCCGCGAGCCAATGATGTAGATGTGGGGGAAGTGTGGCTCGAAAGAGGAGGACCACAGCGATGGGCTGGATGTGTCGTCCGCACCCGTGCTCCCTGAGACGCAACCACCACGGACTGATGATGAGCGTCGCGCAGGCCAGTCTGCAGAAAAAAGGGGACGGATATGTCAAAGCAGCTCTGGGGATGCGGAAGTGGACATTCAGTAACCGAACTTTATACACCGATGCTTTTTTCCGGTCTGGCACTGGGATTCGCACAAGAAAAGGGATTATGGTGTATACGGCATCCTGGTGTCTACATTTGTCGTTGCTTCCACGGGAAAACGGGGAAAAAAGTATACACCACACCACCCCGACGTCGTCCCCGACCCTCAAAAAAGCCCTGGGATTGAAAAACCGCCCGCCACTGGGAATGTATATGCTCCAGTTTCCGAGACATGGCGCAGCCGCCAGTTCACCAGGTGCACATGCACACCGAGACCGCCCAGCAGATCGGGCTCGCGCAGCGAGCTCCCAGAGGCCTCGGAAGCGCTGCTGGTGGCCCACGCGTGGCCGCAGAAGATCACCGAGGACCGCCGTGTGGCTCTGCTCGGGGCCTAAGGGACAGTCTGAGACCCAGGGGGCTGGCCCAAGAAGCCGGAACCCTTAAATTTGCAGCAGCGATTGCACGATGCTCGCACGCTCGTTTTTCGGCTCGCATGCTCCCCCCAAAAAAGGGGCCCAGGGAGCCTCCCACGAGACGGCCCCAAAAGGCCACGCAAAGAGGGGGGCTTCGAGCTGACCTCTGGAGCGCCCCGCCTCAAGGTGGCCATGGAGAGAGCAGGAGAGCCCAGAATCGAATCGACAAGTCGGATCGGCGGTAAAAAAGCAAGCGGATCGGCGAAACTCGGCAGCCAAATCGAGTAAAGTCGAATCGGCAGACATCGGCAGGCTAGTATGCCTCCAATAAGAAATCGAAACCCAGATCAGAACCCCAAGTCGAACCGAATCGGAATCGGAAGCCATCGAAGTCAAATCGAATCGAATCGGAAGAATCGAAATGAGCCCTGGAGGGGGGAAGGGGCTTTTGGCGGTCGCCCGGCGTCCAGCGACTCGCACTCCCGGCGGGCGAGGGGGCGCATGGAGAGCGGGTCCACGAAGCAGCCCTGACCGACCAGCGAGCAGGCCAGGAACCTGCCGTCGAACCTGGGCTGCCGGCGATGATGATGATGATGATGATGATGATGATGATGATGATGATGATGATGATGATGATGATGATGATGATGATGATGATGATGATGATGATGGAAATGACGATGATGATGATGATGATGATAATGATGGTGATGATGCGGCTGCTAATGATGATGACGATGATAATATAATGGTGATGGTGGTGATGCGGATGGTGGTGATGATGATGATGATGGTGGTGGTGATGATGGTGGGGGAGGTGAGAGGATGTTGAAGTCGATGGTGATGGTCCCAGTGATGGTGATGATCCTGATGGTGGTGGTGCTGGTCATCATGATGATGATGGTGATGATGTAAAGGCTGCTGATGATGATGCCGATGGTAATGATAAGGATACTGATGATCATAGTGATGGTGCTGATAGTGGTGGTAACAGTGTTGATGCTGGTGATGGTGATGGGTGATGCTGACGCTGACGCGAATGCTGGTGTTGCTGTTGCTGTTGATGTTGATGATGACGATGAGGGTGAGAATGATGATGATGCTGATGCTGATGCTGATGCTGATGCTGATGCTTTGATGCTGATGATTGTAACGCTGGTGGTGGTGGTTATGCTTATGATGATGATGGTGATGATGATGATGGTGATCATGATGATGGTGATGATAGTGATGCTGATCATGGCGGTGGTGATGATATTGGTGATGGTGATGGTGATATTGTCGATGGTGATGCTGAAGGTCATCGCGTTGATGCTGATGTTGATGATGATGAGGATGATGATGTTGACGATGATGCTGATGATGATGATTTGTGGTGGTGATGATGATGCTGGTGATGATGATAATGCTGATGGCGATGATCATCATGATGACGCTGATGATGATGACGCTGATGATGATGATGAAAATGATCATGATCATGATGATGATGATGATGATGATGATGATGATGATGATGATGATGATGATGATGATGATGAATGCAATGACGTGTTCTTCGAATGCGCTCGGCTGAACGAGCCGGTGACAGATCAGGTCCAAGTTCGGGCGGCACTCGCCCACACCGCTCAGTAGCCTCGCTTCGGAAGCGCTGGGGCAGCCAACTGCAAGCCTGCGCCGATCCTGGCCAGGATCATCCAGGGTCTGGGGATCGGCCTGGCCAAGCATCGGTGTCGGGTGGGTGTGCAGCTTGAGCCCCGGGGAGGAAGGGGGGGAGAAAGGGAGGGGACGGAGCGGAGGAGGGGGAGGAGGGCAAGGGGGCGGAGAGGAAGGGTGAGAAAGGGGAATTCGGAGGGGAGGGAAAGAAGAGGAGGAGCAGCAACAAGAACAGGCAGGGGTCTTCCGGGTACCACCACCCCTCATCAACACTCTTCATGCTGAATCCTCAATCCACCATTCTCCGTGTCATTCCTTCATGCTCCTCCTTCTGCTCCTTCTCAGTATCACCATCATCAGCATCATCACCATCAGCAGCAACAACAACATGCCTTATCCCTCATCCTTCACACCTTATCCCGCATTCCGCATACCCCTCGCCCTTCCTACATCCCTAATCCTCCACCTCCTCATCCTCGTCCACCTCTGTACCCCAATCAATCATCATCATCATCATCATCATCATCATCATCATCAGCAGCAGCAGCAGCAGCATCATCAGCATCATCAGCATCATCATCATTATCATCATCATCATCATCAGCATCATCATCACCATTAGTATCATCATCATCATCATCATCATCATCATCATCATCATCATCATCATCAGCAGCAGCAGCAGCAGCAGCAGCATCATAATTATGAATACAAGTCATCATTGTGATAATCAGTATCATCATCATCATCATCATCATCATCATCATCCTCATCGTGATCATCATCCGCATCAGCCACGCGATCATAATCAAAATCATCACCACAACCATCAGCATCATCATCATCATCATCATCAGCATCAGCATCAGCATCATCAACGCTACCGCTTATCATTATCATTATCATCATTACCATAATCGCCCTCATAGTCCTCCTACTCACCGGCATCATCATTATCAGCATCACCATTATCATCGCACATCATCAGCATCACCATCATCTTCAGCAGCAGCATCAGGCTCGTCATCAACACCAGTATCAATAGCATCACAATCATCAGCACCACCATGATCAGCACCATTATCGTCATCGAAATCATTATCAACCTCATCATCATCATCGTCATCATCATCACAAAATCATCATCCGCATCACCAGAATCAGAACCGCCCTCGCCATCATCAGCGCCACGACCAGCGTCATCATCAGCATCATCACCAGCACCATCACAAGCAACATCATTCTCGGCGTCAACCTCCTCATGAACGTCATAAACAACAGTATCATCATCATCATCATCATCATCATCATCATCATCATCAGCTGCATCAGTACCATCATCATCACAATCGGTATCATCAGCAGCATCACCATCATCATCCTCGTCATGGTCATCGTCATCATCATCACCACCAGCACAATTGCCATCATGATCCTCGTCAGCATCATCATCTGCAGCATGATCAGCCGCAGAATTATCGACAGCATCAGCATCATCAACACCAGCAGCATGATCACCACCAGCATCATCATCACAATCGTCACCATCATTATCAGCAGCATCCTCATCATCATCACCATCACGATCACCATCATCATCATCATCATCGTCATCATCATCATCATCATCATCATCATCATCATCAGCATCATCATCATCATCATCATCATCATCATCATCATCATCAGCATCATCATCATCATCCCATCAACATGCCCCATTACCATTCCCCCTCCCCGTGCTTCTCGTCGCGTCTTCATGTTCGTATTTCGATTCGCCCTTCCTTCTCCTCCTCCTACTCCTCCTCCTCCTTCTCCTCCTTCTCCTTATCCTCCCCCCCCTCCTGATTGACAAGTACACCGCGCCGCACCACTAGCGTGGGCGGTGCGTTTCGCCTGGACAGCCTGACCACGCATGGCCCTGAAGCTTGAAAGTCCCAGAAGCTGCACGGAAAGGGGGGGGCGTGCATCGAGCAAGCACACGGTTTCAAACTGTGGCTCTCTATCCAGATTCGCGCGAGCTCGCCGTGAAGGCTTCTTCAAGCGGTATCAGGTTCGAGGGCTTCAAAATGCACCTCTAGCCTTGGCGCCTCGCAGATTCACCTGAAACGCGGCGAACGGCTACCAGATGGAGGGCGAGCCATACTCCCAAGGCGGCGGTCGCCTCCGCACCGCGCACAGTTTAAAACCTTCCAACAAGTAAAAGGATGGAGTGCGCTGGGCGTCGCTAAATGGGGGGGGGGGGGGCGATAACTGAGGGGGGGCACTGGTGCACGTGTCGGGCCCTGAAGGCCACCTTGTTGTGCCCTCAAGGGCCCCATTGTTGGCCCTAGTGGGCTTCTTTTCTGCAGTCCTCGCTGCCCCCCACTTGATCGTCCCCCCGATACGCGACGCCCAGGCGAAGCTCCTCTTCCAGCTTCGGTTCCCGCTTGGGATTGCCTCAACGCGCATTGCCATATGTGCGTCGAAGTGCGCATCCGCTCCAAACATAAGGGTTGTTCCTGTTGAAAACCTGGCTGCCGCTAAAGACTTCATCAACATGATGCCCGAAGCGTGAGATGTCGGAACAGCTGCACGGACTCGCCATCGCCCAGACGTCCATTCCTCGCGCTAGTGTTCGGTTTCGTGCGTGCATGCTTTTTTTTCGCAAGGTAACCCACCGGGTTCCTCGATGGTTCTTGCAGAGGAAGAGTACACGCGTCCGAGCGATGCCAAGCGGATGGAAAATCGGCTTCTTCTCAGGACGGAGCTCTCGCTGGCACCTCCTTGAGCTTGCGGATACAACCTCTTCGCACTTCTGGGCAAGAAGGGTGCAGGACTGCATGTGTTCTAACCGGGCCTCGCGCCCAAATGGGAGGCCCACGGGGCGCGTGTCTGTCGAGGAGGCGCCTCTGACACCTAGAGATCCTCGACCTTCGATCCTCCTATACCTCCTCAATTCCTCCTCAATGTCGTCCGCATCCTTATACTCATACTCATCCTCATCCTGATCCTCACCCTCATCCTCATCAGCGTCCTCATCCTCCCCATCATCCCCATCATTATCAGCAGCAGCATCATCACCAGCATCATCATCAACATCAGCAGCATTTTCAATGCCATCATCAACACCACATTACACCATCATCATCAGCAGCTGCAGCATCGCACCGTCATTGGCATCATCAGCATCATCGTCAGCATCATCACCAGCATCATCGCCATCATCGCCATCATCATCATCATCGTCGTCATCCTCATCAGCAGCATCAGCATCAGCATCAGCATCAGCATCAGCATCAGCATCAGCATCATCATCATCATCAGCAGCATCATCGTCGTCATCACCAACATCACATTTTCATAATCATCAGCCGAAGCAGCAGCAGCAGCAACCGTCGCTCTTCCTTAGCATCACCATCATCATCATCAGCATCATCACATTCATAATCATCAGCATCAATATCAATGTCATCATCAGCAGCAGCATCACCATCGCCGAACCTTACACAATACCATCACCAGCATCAGCATCATCGTCAGCAGCATCATCACATTCATCATCATCAGCATCATTGTCAATATCATCATCAGCAGCAGCATCACCATCGCCGAACCTTACACAATACCATCACCAGCATCAGCATCATCGTCAGCAGCATCAACAGCAGCAGAACCAGCTGCACCAGCATCATCATCAACGTCAGCATCGTCATTTGCATCATCGTCATCGACACTGTCATCGTCATCGTCGTCATCATCATAGTCATCATCATCATCATCATCATCATCATCATCATCATCATCATCATCATCATCATCATCATCATCATCATCATCATCATCATCGTCGTCATCATCATCAGCCACCACCTTTACCAACATTGTCATCACAGCTGTCTCTTCAACACGAGCCGGTCCGTCCCACCCGTTTCCCCTTCTCCTGCCCCACGGCCCCTCCTCCTCCCAGACTCGGGTCGGGCGAAAGGGGGGCATAGCAAAGGGGGCGGTTGAGAATCAGCTCACGTAATTAGCTGATTTTCCCGGCGCCTCCCGGCGGCGGAGGCGACAATGTATCGAGGAGTGGGCCCCTCGGTGGGGCCGAAACCAGCCGCGTGCAGCAAATTTCGTACCCCCCCCGTTCTCGGGGATGGACAGACCCCCCTTTAGTAAAACGTGGCTTAGTGAAAACGACCCGAGGCCTAAACCTGGCGGGCGCAAGCCTGGAAAATAACGGCCACGGCGCCCTCTCGAGAACCGAAAACGGACAATTCACGAATCGACGTGTCACTGTTGGGGGTTCTGTCCACCCCCGACGTTCCCAATCCCCCCCCCCTCTCGTCCGGCCCGACAGACATCCGGGCTGCCTAAAACCTCGACAGGAATTAAGATATCGAGGTCCTGGTGCTACTTTTTGGCCCTCCTGGAAGGTCAGGGCCAATCCCCCCCCTCTCGTCCGGCCCGACGGACCTCCGGCGCCCCCCCACCTCTCTTCCGCGGCGTGGGCCGCCGGCGCTCTCGGCCCCCTCTCTCCTCGGGGGGGCCGCTCGTCGTGCCGCGCTGCTCTCCACGGCGGCCCCCCGAGAGGCCCGAAGGATCTCTGCCTCCCGGGGGCCAATTTGGGCGGCGAGGGGCCGACCGCCCCGAGCTGTTCCCAGGCGTCGGACGTCCTCGCCGTCGCTCGGGCGTCCCTTCCCTGTGGTTTTGTTCGGTGTCGTGCGTGGCTTTCTTCGCCACGTGATCGAGGATGCTCCTGGGAGGGCCCTCGCCGAGGGAAAGATGCACACGTCCGAGCGATGCCAAGCGTCTGAACCGGGGCGACGGGGGCCGAACGGTCCCACACCGCCCCACGGGTGCGTGGCCGAAGCGGGCCTCTGCGGTGCGCATTCTGGCCATCGCTCGGGCGTCCCTTCCCTGTGTTTTTGTTCGGTGTCGTGCGTGGCTTTTCTCGCCACGTGGTCAAGGATGCTCCTCGATGGCCCTCGCCGAAGGAAAAATGCACACGTCCGAGCGATGCCAAGCGTGTGAACCAGGGCGACGGGGGCCGAACGGTCCCACACCGCCCCATGGGTGCGTGGCTGAAGCGGGCCTCTGCGGTGCGCAGTCGTGAACGTCCATCTTCGGATAACAGCTGTTGTCGAGCCCCCACCCCCTCCTGCGCCTGCGTTTTTCAATTCAAGTGCTTCTCCTGGGGACCGTGCCCCCAGCCCCCAGTTTACCACCATAGCGGCTCCCGCATGATACTTCCACACAATTTACTTCACAAGCGTCCTCTCTTGCGGAACTTTAGCGCAAATTGCGCAGGAGTCGAGCTCTTGCATTGGTTTTTCTTGCAATTGACTCAGACGCCGTGCCCTCGACGCTCAGGAATCGCGTTCTCGCCCTGGCTTTTCTCGCGATTTACTTGGGAATCGCGCTATCGCTCGAGACCATCTCGCGATTCATGCAAAACTCACTCTTCAGCGACCCGCCTGCTCAACCTGGCCGCCTGGGCCCGCCTTCCCGACCAGCTCGCTAGGGCCTATCAGCCCGTTCTGCAGCGTGTCTTCTGCTCCTAGCCCCACTCTTGCTGATCGCTCTCGTGCTCCATCCTTCTTTCTCCGCCTTCCATCCGTCCTCTCTTCCCCTGTTTAAGAGGCTGCATGACTTAGATGTGGCAGGCAATGAAGATATACCCCCAAAGGGGTACGATCGAAGACGAAGAGGGCGGGCATCGAGGGTTTGGAATATACGTGTTGAATTGCACGCGAGAGCTTACGAGCGAACCTTATTAAATTGAGTGTTGCTGTTGTCGTCGTCCTCGAGCGCGATCCACCCGCGGCCCACCCGCGGCCCGCCCGCGACCCGCCCACGACCCACCCACGACCCACCCGAGGCCCACCGGCGACCCACCCACGTCAAGCCGACGAACAAAGCGGGCGCCTGCGGCGCCCCTGTCGGCTAAACACGTGAGCGGCCCTGGGTAAGAGTGACCTTTGAGGCGCGACTTTGCGGTCGGTGGAAGTAACTAGAGAATGAAAAAAACGCCAAAAACATAAACCTTTGGCGCTCCGCACGGATTTCTCGGATCTGCGCTGGACCCCCCTCCCTGGCGCGCTCCGCGCGCCATGGGCGGCGCCGAAGGCGCCAGCGGGGGGGTCCAGCGCAGATCCGCGAAAGCCGCGCGGGTCGCCAAAAGTTGATGTTTATGGCGTTTCTTCTTCTTCTCCTTCTTCTTCTCCTTCGTCTTCTTCTTCTTGTTCTTCTCCTTCTTCTTCTTCTTCTTCTAGTAACGCCCCGACAGCGACCTGCACGCTCGGGCTTGCCCCCCGCCCCCCCTCCCGCCCTGGCGCGCTCGGGCTGGGCCCTCCGCCGCGCCTCGGGTCACAAGTCGACTGGGACTCCGGCGGCCATTCGGGACGACCTGTGCATCCCCGTAGCGACGCTCTCGGCCACGCGCCGTGGCTGGAACGCCTCCCGGAGCAGAAAAGACTCCGGGGCCCCGCAGGAAGTTCCAGGTCTGGCCGACTCAGGAGGCGGCACCGCAACACGGGGGAGTCTCGACCCCTTCCCCAGGGCCAGCCTTTCGTTCTGAGCCGTTCTCTGACGGTCCCTGGGCCCAGCGAGCCCCTGGACGCCGGGAACGGCGAAAAAATCCGTCGTGGATTTTTCGATGGCTTCAATGCTTGGTGACGGTGCCCTGGCATTCTCGCTCCCGCCCCGGGGAGCCAATGCACCGGCCCCAGCTCGCCGGCCTCCAGCGCGGCCACTGCCGCTGGGCCCCAGAGCCCCTCGCCCTCCTCGGGGCAGGGCGGAGGGGAAGGGGTGGGGCAGAGGCGCCTCCCTCTCCTCCACTCCCTCATCATCATCACCACCACCACCAACACTGGCATCAGCACCATCATCCTTATCACCACAACCACCACCACCACCACCACCACCGCCACCACCGTCATCATCATCATCATCATCATCATCATCATCATCATCATCATCATCACCATCATCATCGCCATCAGCAGCAACATCCTAACCATCATCATCACCGTTATCACCAGCATCATCATCAGCATCATCTTTACCACCAGTAACATGACCATCAGGATCAACAACATCCTACTTCAGTTCGTCACTAGAACTTGTTGATTTCCCCATCGCGGATTATGTGCGATACCGAATGTTGTCGCTTCGACTGTTTCTAGCATCGTCGCCATCATCGTCGCCGTCGTCCATCGTCGTCGACATCACCACCCTCAGCATCACCAACAACATGATCAGCATGATCATCATCACAGCGATGACAATAGTCGAAAATATCATCAACATCAACATTAACAGCACCAGAATCATCGTAGTCGAAAGCATCGCCGTCACCGTTATCATCAACAGGACACCATGTTCATCATCAGCAGCAACAGCAGCATCCCCACCCATAACAACAACAACAGCAAACACAACAACCGCAACAACAACAACACCATGAGCATCTGCACCATCATCCTCTGCAATATCATCATCCCAATCCTCCTCATGATCCTCATCCGCAACCTCGTCCGCATCATCATGCTCACCGTCACCATCACAAACCACATCCAGTATCATCATCAGCAGCATCAGCATCCTCTTGTCAATCACCAGGCTTCTGAATTATCAAAAAATTAATCATCAATGACTATCATCGACATCATCATCAGCATCATCACCATCATCATCCTTGTCATCATCGCCACCATCATCGTCATCATCAGCATCATCAGCAGCATCATCGTTATAACCAAGATCGTCATAACCATCCTCACCAGCAGCATTACAAGTAATCATCATCATCATCATCATTATCATCATCATCATCGTCATCATCATCACAATCATTGCCCGTATCATCACCATCATCATCAGCATCACCATCGCCATCACCACCACCATCACCAGTCTCATCATCAGCAGTAGCATCACCAATATCAGCATCATCATCATCGTCATCGTCATCGGCATCATGATCAGCATCGTTGCCAGCCGCATCATCATTAGCATGATCATGATCATCAACATCATCATCAGCATCAGCATAATCATCATCATGATTATCATGATCAGAATCAGCATCATCATCAGTATCATCATAGCACCATCATGATCAGCATCACCATCATAATCATCTCCGGCAGCATCATCAGCATCATCTGCAGCTGCATCAGCATCAGCATCAACATCATCATCATTATCAGCGTTAGCAACAGCTTCCCTACTCACCTGCTCCTCCTCCAACTCCTACTACCCCTCCTGCTCCTCCTCCCTCCTCCTTCTCGTCCCCCTCTCCCCTCGCCCCCTCCTCAACCTCCTCCTTCTCCTCCTCCTACTCCTCCTCATCCTCATCCTCATCCTCATCCTCATCCTCATCCTCCTCCTCCTATATCCCATACTCCTCCCCGTTCCTCCTCCTCCTCCTTCTCCACACCCTCCTCCTCCACCTGCCCGCGCTCCCCCCTCCTCCCCCCTCCTCCTGCAAGCCCCTCTCAGGATGTAGGGGCATGCCCAAGTATCTTGACAGTTCTGTGCGTACCCCTCTAGGTCACACACTTGTAGATGTGAATCAGGGGGGTAAGGCCCCTTCGTGCCCAGGTTGCTGCCGCCCAGTGTATGTGTGTACTAAGTGCGGTGCCTGGGCTCAGCAGTCCAGGAGGAGCAAATTAAGACGACCTTGCGAGCCCCCCACCAGGAAGGGGCTTGAGGTCCTTGCGAATTTACGTAACGGAGTGGGCCCCCACAGGGGGCTCGCTCGCCAGGTTGACGCCGCCCTCCCAGCTCTTCAGTCCGTGTCTTGTGCTGTGAGGCGTCCCGAGCTTGAGACCACACGCGTTTCCAGAGCTCCTGTGTCCGAGGGCCCCCCGACCTACGAGTCCAGGATGGCTGCCCTCGCCGAGAGAATTCGTCTGAAAGAGCAGGCTGCCTCAAGGTAGTCTGTTTTCAGGCCTGGCAAAGTCGCCGAAGGTTGTGCATTGTTTTGCACGCGCCAGGGCCCAGAGCTGCTGGCGTGATCAGGTTGAGCCGCCATCCTCCTCGGAGTTTCAGCATCCAGCATCCTCCTCCTCCTCCTCCTCCCCCTCCTCCTCCTTCTCCTCCTCCTACACCTCCTCCTCCTCCTCCTCCTCCTCCTCCTTATCCTTCTCCTCCTCCTCCTCCCCACCCACGTCAGCCGGCGAGGAGGACGAGGAGGAGAAAGGCGAGGAGGGCGGCCGAGGACGAGAACGAACGTACCCCGTCCTCCTCCCCTCCTCCTCCTCCTCCTCCTCCTCCTCCTCCTCCTCCTCTCCTCCTACTCCTGCTGATTCTCCTCCTCCTCCTCCTCCTCCTCCTCCTCCTCCTCCTCCTCCTGCTCCTCCTCTTCCTCCACATTGTCCTCTTCAACCATTCCCCCCCCTCCTTTCCACGTCACTCCTTCTCCGGCGTGGCACTCCTCCTCCTCCCCATCCTCCTTATCCTCTACACCTTCCCTTCCCCCGTTCCCCCTCCTCACCATCACAAGGTTCATCTGTCCTCAGCCCCTCCTATTCCTCCTCGTCCTCCTCCTCCTTCTCCTTCTTCTCCACCTCCTCCTACATTCCTCTTACTTGTGAATAACTCCTCCATGTCGCACCCCGCCCGCGGCCTGTCGGAAGGGCGAGCGGCCGGGCGTTTCGGCGAAGACGTCCTTTGTAATCACAGGCCTCACGCTTTAAACTGGCAGCGGTTACACAGATGGAAGACGGGTCGCCTCCAACATGTGGCCCTCCCCATCAGCGCCGCGCACAATCGTTCCAAAACTGTGCAAGACTTTCACGGATTGAGGGCGGTTCCTTTTCAACATGTGGTTCTCGCCTTAGCGCCGAGCACATTCGATTTTGAAAAGTTACAAGACTTTCACGGCCTGAAGGCGGCTTTTTTTGCATAAAGTGGCTCTCGCCGTAGCGCCGCGCACAGTCTTCTTAAACCTGTTGCACGAGTTTAACTGTTTTTCATGGTTACCGTGGCAGAAAGTATGCTTTCGAGCGGTTAAGGTTTTGTCTGGGCGAAGCAGCTACGTTGACTCGAGGCGATGCCCCAGGAATGGTTTCTGTCGATATTCAGGATCGTCAAGACGCAAGAGTCAGGTTGACTGAGAGTGATGTTTTGGCACGGTTCCAAATTCTCACACGGTTGTCGCCCAACGGTGCACTTCCCTCAGTGGAAATGAATCCGTGTAGGGGCCTGTGGAGAGGGAGCTTGAAGGGAGGGTGCATTCATACACCCATTACGAGCCTTGAGATTGCATTGGTCCTCTTCCGCCTCCTCCTCCTCCTCCTCCTCCTCCTCCTCCTCCTCCTCTCCATCCCGTCCGTCGGCGGCTCCTCCAGCCCCCCCGCGACAGAGCTGCTGGCTGAGAGCCCGAAAGGCTCGTACGGCAGCTCCTCCAGGGGCGCGAGCGAAATCGGACAGCAGTCGCCAGCCAGCCTGCGCCAGCTCCTCGTCCTCCTCCTCCTCCTCCTCCTCCTCCTCCGCCTCCTCGTCAGCATCAGCATCATCACCGCCACGACCACCATGACCATCACCGTCACATGCATGCTCATCAGCATCACCAGCAACAACAACACCAATAACTGCATCATCAACCGAATCATCATCAACAGCATTACTATCACCGCCACCATCGTCATTATCGGTCCTCAGCCTGAACAGTAGCTCCATCAGCATTATCAGCAGCATAACCATCATCGTTCATATCATCACCGTCATACTCGTCAACGTCATCATCATCATCATCAGCAGCAGCAGCAGCATCATCTGAAACAGCATCAGCATCATCGTAATCAGCATCACCATCATCAGCAGCCGCATCAGCATCGTCAGCATGAGCATCATCACCATCACCATCATCCTCATCATCGTCAGTATCATCAGCTCCAACATCATCATCAACACCAGCAGCATCGTCATGCTCCTCGAGCCTCCTGCAGCCTTTTCGAGTCGTCTTCTCCTCCAACCTCATCCTCCGCCTCCTCCTCAACCTCCTGCTCCCCGTCACTATCAGCATCCTCATCCTCCTCAACATCTTCATCATCATCCTTATCCTCCTCCTCCTCCTCCTTCTTACCCTCCTCTTCCATCTCATCCTCCTCATCAACATCATCCGCATCATCAGCATCAGCATCAGCATCAGCATCAGCATCAGCATCAGCATCAGCATCAGAAAATCATCATCAGCATCATCATCATCAGCATCATCATCATCATCGTCATCATCATCATCATCATCATCCTCATCATCATTATGCCGTATGTTCACGTCTCGATGACGTTGGCGTTGGTTTCTGACACCATGTGGATCGTTCAACCTCGAACAATCGCGGCTTTCCGGTAGCGCAGGTCGCTCGACATCTGGCAATTCTGGGCCGCTGACGGCGGTTAACCTTGAACGCCCGCGCTGGGGCCCACCGCCGTATCAACGCGGCGCAAACCTACCGTACCCTCGTTCCCATCCGCCATCCTCTCTTCAACTCCTCCTCCTCCTCCTCCTCCTCCTCCTCCTCCTCCTCCACATCCTCCTCCGCCTCTTCTTCCTCCTCCTCTTCCTCCTCCTCATCATCATCCACCCTCCTCCCTCCTCCCTCCTCCCTCCTCCTCCTCATCCTCCTCCTCACTCCTCCTCCTCCTCCTCCTCCTCCGCCTCCTCCTCCTCTTCGTCGTCCTCCTCCTCCTCTTCCTCCAAAACCTCCTCCTTATCCTCCTCCTCCCTCCTCCTCCTCCTCCTCCACCTCCTCTCCTCCTCCTCTGCCTCCTCCTCCTCCTCCTCGTCATCTGTCTCCTCCTCCTCCTCCTCATCCTCCTGTCTCCTCCTCCAGCATTGATCCCCCTCTTCATTCTCCTGCTGCTGGTCCTCCCCTCCAGCCCCCTGCCCCTCCAGCCTCCCCCTCCTCCCCTGCCCCTCCTCGTCATCCTCCTCCTCCTCCTCCTCCTCCTCCTCCTCCTCCTGCTCCTCCTCCTGCTCCTCCTCCTCCTCGTCCGCCTCTCCTCCCTCCTCCTCCTCCTCCTCCTCCTCCTCCTCCTCCTCCCTCCTCCTCCACTCCTCCTCCTCCCTCCTCCTCCTCCTCCTCCTCCGCCTCCTCCTCCTCCTCCTCCTCCACCTCCTTCTCCTCCCCTCCTCCAACTCCTCCTCCTCCTCCTCCTCCTCCTCCTCCTACATTCCTTCTCCTTATAGATAAAACCTCCTGGCAGTCGCGCCCCGAGGCCAGTTTTTAGAGCGGGCCGGGCGTTTCGCCTGAGACCTCCTCACCACTGAAGTTGAAAAAAAACAGCTCCACAGATGGAGGGCGGGTCGTTTTCAAAATGTGGCTCTCGCTCTAGCGCCGCGCATATTCTTTTTGAACGTGTGCAAGAGCTTCTCGGATTAAGGGCGGGTGGTTTTCAAAATGTGAGTCTCGCCTTAGCGCCGCGCACGCTCGCTTTAAACATTTGCAAGAGTTTCACGGATTGAGGACGGGTGGTTTTCAGAATGTGGCTCTCGCCTCAGCGCCGCGCACCTTCGTTTTCAACATTTGCAAGGGCTTCACGGATTGAGGGCGAGTGGTTTTCGAAATGTGGCTCTCGCCTTAGCGCCGCGCACATTCGTCCTAAACATTCGCAATGGTTTCACGGATTGAGGGCGGGTCGTTTTCAAAATGTGGCTCTCGCCTTCTAGCGCCGCGCGCATTCGTTTTACCATTTGCAAGAGCTTCACGGATTGAGGGCGGTTCCTTTTCAAAATGTGGCTCTCGCCTTAGCGCGGCGCACATTCGTGCTTTTTGCTTAAACTTGCAAGGTTTCACGGATTCCCATGATCAACAGACCAAACATAATGTTTTGGAAGGGTTCAGGATTATGCGAGCGCAACAGTTATGTCGATTCGCTGTGTTGAAGTCCCAAAGATGGCGTTCTGGCACGATTCTGGATCGTCAAGACGCAGCAGTCAGGTTGATACGTGCGTTGAAATCCCGAGAACAATATTTTGGCACGCTTCAGGATCTTCAAACTGTAGTCTTCCAACGAGGCAGTTCCTTCAATGGAAATGAACCGTTGTAGGGGCCTCTGGAGAGGGAGCTTGGAGGGAGGGTTGATTCCAACAGCGTTGCTGACTCTTGGGTTTTCACTAATTAGTCCTCCTCCTCCTCCTCCTCCTCTTCCTCCTCCTCCTCTTCCTCCAGCCTCCTCCCCCTCCAGTCATCTCCCCCTCCAGCCTCCTCCCCTCATGCTCCTCCCCCAGCCCCCCCTCCCCCTCCTCCTCCCCCTGCCCCCTTCCCCCATCGCCCCCTCCCGTCGCTGGCCAGCCTGTGCCACCAGGGCTTCGCCGCGGCGGCGGCCGCCGCCGCGGCCGCGCGCTCCGCACGGCGGGCCTCCAGCACCTCCATCCTGTCGCCGGCCTCCACGCGCACCTTCGCCGCCCCGAGGCCCTTGGCGTCCGTGTAGAGCTGGACCGGCGGTCCAAAGAGGGGGGCCCTGGAGGCTGGGGGACCTCAGGATGGGGGAGCCTCGAGCAGTGGAGATCCAGCTCGGTATCCGTCCCCAGCCTCAGGGCCCCATGCTGCAGGGCCCCCTCTTTGAAGACCGCCCGCTGGAAGGACACGCGGCTGCCGACGCGCAGCTTGGCTGGCGCCTCGCCCTCCAGGTCTCGCCTCTCGAAGTAGACGTCCTTGCGGCCTCGCGAGCGGCGCGCAGGGAGGGGCGTGAGGGCGCCAGGGGGCAGGGTGGCCATCCGAGGAGGCAGGGTGGCCTGCCTCGCGGTGGCGCCAGGAGGGAGGGGGGGGGGCCTTGGGAGGAGGTGGGGCGCCTCTTCGAATACCCCCCGCGCATTCGAGAGGGGCCACCCTGCCTCCCCAGAAGGCCCCCCACCAAATGGCTGACCTACTCCTCCTTCTCCTCCTCCTCCTCCTCCTCCTCCTCCTCCTCCCGGGGCGCCGCCGAGCCTTGGGGGTCCTGGACAGACAGGGGCCCGTCCGGCGCGATCCAGCCGAAGTGCTTCGTCGCCGTCCACTGCCTCACGGTGCCCGTGTGGCGCTGGTCCGGGCCCTCCGAGCGCACGAGCGGGCCCCCTCCCGGGGACCGCGCCGCAGCCGCACCTAGAATTATGGGCCTTCCCACCACCGCTGCCATAGGTAGGAGAGGGAGGAGGAGGAGGAGGAGGAGGAGGAGGAGGAGGAGGAGGAGGAAGAGGAGGAGGAGGAGGAGGAGGAGGAGGAGGAGGAGGAGCAGGAGGAGCAGGAGGAGGAGGAGGAGGAGGAGGAAGACCTCCCCATATCCTCCCTTCTCCCCCGTCCTACCTAGGGTAGCGGTGGTGGAACACTGACCCATCATAGCAGAAGAGGAGACGGGACAAGCCCGACCCGTCGGAGGCCCGCGCCGATCTCTCGGATCGGCGGTGCCGCCCCCCCTCCCTGGCGCCCGGAGCGCGCCAGGGGCGGCGCCGCAGCGCCGCTCCAAGAGATCCGCGCGGCCCACGCCGCCTGCCCCTTCTGAAAGGGGCCCTGGGACACACAAATAAATACACACAAATAAAAGGATCCCCCATATTTTCTCATGTGTTCTGGGTTTATGTCTTCCCCCCCGCTGCCCATATTTTCCCAGATGTTCTGGGGAATCGAGGATGAATTGTGTCTGTGTGTTTTTTCTCCTCCTGACTTTCTCCGAGCGCACCGCCGCCCGGAGGTGCCGCGGGCGGCGCCAGGGGCCGCGCGGCCTTCTCCTGCTCCGGGTCCGCGAACCGCACGCTCAGGGGCTTCCCGCCGTACGGCTTCCCGTCCATCGCCTCCACGGCGAGCCTCGCGGAGTGCAGCGAGCTGAACGTGACGGCGCCAGAGGACCTCGCGCCCTGCCGCTGCGGCCGCTCGAAGGTGTGGGAGCACACGGTCCCGAAGTGCGCGAAGGTCTTCGGGAACGCGTCCTCCAGGCTGGGAGGCCACCCGAGCACCCTGACCTCCACGCTGCCGGGCAGGAGGGCCACGGCGGCGTCCACGGCGACCCTGCCAGGGCCCCCGCCCTTGTCGGGCGGGCCCACCTCGTGTGCGCCCAGCCCGTCGCTGTCGAAGTACAGCGCGAAGGACAGCCGGTCCCCGGGCTTCGGCGGCGGCGCCGCGCCGAGGTCGCGCGACGACAGGAAGACCTTGCCGTCGTGCTTCCCCGCCGCGGAGTGGTCCAGGCGCCCGTCGGGCTCGATCCAGCCGTAGGCCCCCAGCCAGCTCGACACCGTGCCGACCAGGCGGCCGCCCGCCACGCGCTGCCGCGTCGGCCCGTCGCCGCCCGCGCCCGCGCCGTGCAGCTCGGAGAAGCCCGCGAGCTGCACGGAGAGGCAGGCGCCCCGGTGGTGGCGGCCCTTCATGTGGGACATGGCGGCCAGGGCCGCCTGGTGACGAACGAGCAACACACACCCATACCCATAGGGGGGTCGTTGAGAGGAGGACTCGCTATGGGTATGGGTGCGGGTTGTCGGACCCTGGGGAACGCTCCTGTTCGAGCGGGGACCCCCATCCGACAACACGCACCCATAGCCCTCTCCGACCCCCCTATGGGTATGGGTGTGTGTGTGTGTGTTGTTGGTTCGTCAGCCTGGTGCGTCCCGAAGGTCACGAGCCCGGAGCGCTGCGTGCTGCCCTCCTCGTCGCAGAGGCTCGCGGAGGCCACGGGGCCGAAGACGGCGAACATCTGCAGGAGCTCGGCGTCGTCCGTGTGCCCCGGGAGCCCGAACACCTGTGGCGGGGGAGAGCCCAACCGGAGGAAAAAACAGCGGCATGAGCGAACACGTTCGGAGCACCGCGCGGATTTCTTGGATCGGCGCTGGAGCCCCCGGCGCCGTAGGCGCCGCCAGCGGGGCCCAGCCCCGATCCAAGAAAGCCGCGCTGTGCTCCGACAGTTTCTGTTTATGCCGTTGTTCCTCCTTCGAAAGGGGAACCAAACGCAGTCCTGATCCTCCTTCCTCTCGTCCTCCGACCCTCTTCTGGGGCCGAGCGGCCTTGCGGGCCTTGCGGGCCCAGCGGTCGCGCGGGTGCACGGCCGAAATGCTTTTTCCACGGCCCGGATCAGCGCTGTCTTGTCATCGTCGTCTCCCCGCTCCCCGCCCCGCGACCCGCCTAGACCTGGTCCGCGACCCACCCGCGACTCACCAAGAGACTTGAGCAGGGACCGACCGTCCTGGCATTCCTATAGTCCTACCAAATGATGTTCTTAGAACCCCAAAGTGTTCTAAGAACAAATGATCCCAGTGCGACCCTACCTAGGAGTTGGAACCTCTAAGAAAGCAACATTAGTAGGAGCGGTAAACGCCGTCCTCCTCCTTCTCCTCATCGCCGTAGTTGTAGCAGTAGCGGTAGTAATAGTAGTGGTAGTAGTAGAAGTAGTAGTTGTAGTAGTAGTAGTAGTAGTACTACTACTAGTAGTAGTAGTAGTAGTAGTAGTAGTAGTAGTAGTAGTAGTGGTAGTAGTAGTAGTAGTAGTAGTAGTAGTCGTAGTCGTAGTAGTAGTAGTAGTAGTAGTAGTAGTAGTAGTAGTAGTAGTACTAATAATAGTAGTCGTAGTAATAGTAGTAGTAGTAGTAGTAGTAG